TACAGCGAGGATTCTAGAGGCCATCATCAGGAGGACACTTGCTCCCGGAGTTGGGATACAGAGAGGGCCTAACTCGCCACTGACTCACGGCTTCTCAATGCCATCATCATGAGATGTGATGTTTGACATCCGGGACCTCCTTCTGCTGAGAGATGGAGGATACTATGGTGAGGGATTCAAGGGTCGCAGCGGCTTCCCTATGCTCCTTGGATCACCTTCCTCATCCGTAGAGTTGTGATGGATAAGCCCCTGGCATGATGGATGAGTATACTGGGTGCCACTACTGAGTTCCTGACTTACAACCTCTCACAGCGGATCAGACATACCACTCCTCAGGCACCCAGTCAGCCTAGCCGTCGTCCCGACGTGCCAGAGTCCGCAGCTCAGCAGGATGAGATCATCAGAGGGATTGCAACCACAGAGGAGGAGGAGCTAGAGGCACAGCAGGGAGTGAGTGAGTACTGATGGCAGCTCGGCGGCGACTACCGGCCTATACCTCGGATGCCTCCACGAGACCACGATCTGAGGCCGGTAGCTCTAGATTACGCTCCACCGGCTCCTGATGCACCCGCTCTCATAGCTATTCTTGAGCGGATGCAGCAGATCGAACACAGCGAGCCTGAGAGAGCACCGCCAACTTCAGATGATTCCAGCTCGTCGGGGCGAGTTCCAGCGTCAAGCAGCAGCTCCTTCAAGACAACAGCGATTACTTATGCAAAGAGCGGCTCATGGGATTCATGCGGCATGTAGTGACAGCGGCTATTGGGGTCCCACCGCCCCTGACCTTTCGCCCCAGTTGCCTGACCTCCTACCACTTCGACGACTCAAAGAAGACAGCCCGCCGGGCTTCAGAGTCGAGGGGACCTCGCCTCGATTCGATTCACTTCACCTCCTATACTGGTGTCCCGGTGGTTAGCTTCACTGGTGTAGCCCGCAGATTCACTCCTTATCACACGGGTTTCTCACAGAGCGGTCTTCCTCCCTATTCGTGTACTCGAGTCGTCGGTCTCGTGGAGTCTTGGAGCATCATTCAATGAGTTGACCGGTATGCCTACTCCGTCTCACATGCATCTTGCCGGTCCGTCTCACAAAGCAGCTCCGGCTATCGTGACTACTCGAAGCTCCCTCGTCTGTCGCCTCGTCGATCCCACGACGGACATACTTGCAAAGCATCACAGCAAAGACACCGGCCCGGCTGCAGACCAGATCGCTGCTGACACTTCCCGCCTTGAGGGTCGGTCGGTTCGAGCTCGAGGTCGATGATGATGGCGCCTGATTCCATCTTGCTCCACGTACCTCAAATACCTTGACTCGTCGCTGCAGCCCGTCGACCAAACCCTTAGGTTTTGGTGTTTGGCGCCAAAGGGGAGAGGGTTTTGAGTATGTAGACTCGGGGAGCGAGCTTTAGGGGAGCTAGTTATCTAGTATTAGCTTTTTATATACATTTGGAGTTTTATTTGTGTGATACACTATTACTTATGCATTCGTGTGTTTACTTTCATGCATACTATTATATATATGTGATAGTGCTATCTACGTGGACTGTGATATTTGACATGTGTGACTTCTACTTTGCATTTTCTATATGTCATATCACTTGTGTTATGCTCATTTGCTTTTGCTTCGCGTTTATACTTGAAGCAAATGAGCTTTGTTAATTGTACTCATGCTTAATTCATATCCTTTGAGTACATTGTGTTGGCTTGGGTCATATAAGCTTGACTAACTCTTTTGTTCTTATTGACAAAAGCTTATATGAACCAAGCCCAAAAAAAAAAAAAAAAACCTCACTCCATAACATACTCGAGGTGGTATTGTCATCAATCACCAAAAAGGGGGAGATTGAAAGCATCTAGGCCCCTAGTTGGATTTCGGTGATTAATGTCAATACAAGATTACTATGACTAACGTGTGTTTTGCAGAGAGGCAACTAAGTTAGGTCATGGTAATGGAGATCGATTAGGCAATCGAGGTTGTCATGCCCCTACGATGGAAATCGTTTGGTTTTCAAAGGATGGACGACAAGGTTAAGGATAACTAGTTCTAAGTGTCGATTGGAGTTGGAGAGACATTTAGAGTAGTTTAGGACTTTGTTTTTCCTTTGGCCGTACTATAAAGGGGGGGTATGAGCGGGTAGCTTGACCTAGTTGAGTCTAGTGAGTTAGGTGTGGTGCACACTTGTTAAAACTAGCTCTAGGTAGCTCCTATGAATGCCTAAGATCCTTTGGAGCAAACTTCATTCACATATGTTCGAAAGTTAGAAGTGAATGGAGGGTCAAACACCGACCTGGACGGCTCGGTGCGGCAGACGGACGACGTCGCAGGTCCGGGTCGATTCGTTTGATCGAGGTGGTTAAGTCTGTAGACCGGACGCTGGAAGGTCGTGTGACCGGACGCCGAGGGCTAGCGTCCGGTCGACTCGAAGAAGGGTCGAGACTTGAAAAGAGTGACCGGACGCGTCCGGTCAATATGACCGGACCATGTATCCAGGCGTCGGTTCGTTCTGATAAGCATCAAGAGCGGCCGGACGCGTCCGTCGGTAATCGACCGGACCCATCGGCGTCCGGTCATCACTTGAATCTTTGGTTCATGGGTTGAACTGACCGGCCGAAGCGTCCGGTCATCACGATCGGAGCGTCCGGTCGTCCTGCAGAAGCTCATAACAGTTAGTTTTTCAGTGCCTTATAAATAGAAGCTCCACTCGTGAGTGGAGGAACTTTGCTCATTCCAACAATTGAGAAACACGTTTGTGAGTGCCAAGAAGAGCAAGGTCCTAGAGAGGTGTTTGTGATTTGAGAATCCAAGAGAGTAGCCTCACTAGCAAATCAAGAGTAGCAAAGTGTGCATCCATCTTCTCATTAGGCTTGGCGTGGTCAAGTGAGAGTTCGTGCTTGTTACTCTTGGTGATCGCCATCACCTAGACGGCTTGGTGGTGATTGGGAGTTTGGTGTTCACCGGCGGAGCTTGTGGGTGACCCAACTCAAGTTGTGAGCGGCTTTGGGTGATTCATGACGGAGTGTCGAAGAATCAACCCATAGAGAGCACTTGATCCTTCTTGCGCGGATCAGGGGGAGCTACATCCTTGCGCTGGGTGCTCCAACGAGGACTAGTGGAGAGTGGCGACTCTTCGATACCTCGGCAAAACATCGCCGCGTTCCTTTCTCTCCCTATTTACTTTGAGCAATTCAATACTTGTTTTACATCCATAGAATTGCTTGCTTGAGTAAGGTTGGAACATAGGTGGTGAGTTCGTTGTGCTTTAGTTTGATAGAAACACTTTTCTAGGCACAAGGGGTTAATTGGGCTATCCGTAGGATTTGTTTATTGCAAGAGAATTTCGAATTAGCCCAATTCACCCCCCCTCTTGGGCATCTTGATCCTTTCACACACCCCAAGAGAGAACCCGGGAATCCACATTTTTTCCATCAGGATCACAAATAAGAGAATAAAGATTACAACATTCTTAAGTCATTTCTTACATCACTTTCCCTGCAACATCAGAGTATAATATTTATTGTTTATAACAGCGGAATATAACCATGTTATTAGAGTTCGGCGGAAACAAAATCATTCAATGACAAGTTAAATATTAACATGATGATCCGTAAAAGATTCTAAAGAAATAAAGTATGTATGCGAATAAACCTACACCTGCTCCTAAAGTCAAGGGTCATAAATTTGGGAATCTTCAGTGTTCTAGGAACCAATATGAGATCGATCAAATGAACATGGTTCCATATACTTCAGCTGTTGGAAGCTTAATGAGTGTACAAGTAAGAACTTACCCTGACGTAGCTCACGTATCCGGGATGTTTTGGTAGAAGTCCAGTCCAGATATAGATTACTGAAATGGAGTTAAGAATGTCTTGCAATTTTGCAAAGTATTATAAGTACTCTCAAGTAGTGGGTACAAATGTTAACCATTGGCGAGATGTGTAGTAAAATCCACAGTAGTTGTTAACACTCGTAGTTGGAGTATTATTGTGGAAAACCTTCAAAGAAGCAGTTGTGGTATCATCAATGACGCATACCATAGTATAGCTTGGTATGAGGCTTCAGGGACAGGCAAAAGTGGTTAAGAAAATTTTGTACCCAAAATTAACAATGGTAGACAATAGCAATAACCATTTAAAGCAAATCACTCCTATGACAACAGGTCAAGTGTGTTGCCAAATACATTGATATTAAGTTATATGTTGTAAAAGAGAAAATCCAGAATCATTTTGAAAGCATCGAGCATATAAGTACTGAGTAAGTACTTGCGGATCCACTTACCAAAGGCTTATCACCCAGTGCGTTCAGAGAACACACAGTCGATATGGGTTTACGGAAAAGCCTATGATTTCTAGATACTAAGGGCCTAGTTAAGAATCTGTTTCAAAATATAGAGGTGTATTGTAGCTGTTAGTCGAACAGTACTAGCTGTTATGACGATGCATGCTCTATGCACTAATCTGTGATGGAATAGGGAAAAAGACAAAGTAAACTAAGTTTTAAGTCATAAGGTGAGATCAAGGGGAAGAATGTTAGATTGATCTCCACCTGGCTCGGTCCAACGACCGAGTCGGACCCTGACTCGTGCCTGATCGAGGGCGCTCAGCTGTTCTCCTGGTGGGCCCCTGTCACGCAGCGCTATGAATAGGATGTGGGGGCTGGGACTTGATATATGAGGTTCATCGCAGCCGCCAGTGCCCCACCGACGTCCTAACCCTAGTCCAATTGAGAGAGAGCGTTGTGCGCGACGGGAAGCACTATCGCTTTCGCCGCCACCACTGGATCACGCCTCCACTGCACAGCTACCTCTACTCCGACACTCGAGGCCACGTCGCTGCGGCGCCATGGCCACGACTGCGTTTTGGAAGGTATATCGATAAGTTCTTTGTCTAAGTTAAGTTTCACCCGTTAGATCTACACCTAGAGATCCTATAAATCCTATCAAATAGAAACTAAAGAGGATGGAGCAGTACGGAATGTGCTGCAGGAGGTGGGATAAGATGTACCCTTTTGGCCAGTTGGTCGGCCTCCTCCTTTGCAGCCTTGGATGCCACCCTCTCTGCGAGAAGCCTCCCCCTAAGGCACTCCACCGTCCTCATGCCACCGCCACCGCCACCACCATCCCCACCCCCGGCGCTCACCCTGCAATCAATGCAACGAAACACAAATGCAGAGCCAGGTCAGAGATTGATCCTAGGATACCAATGGAGCCACCAACAAGCAGCTCAATGCAAGAACTAATACTCCTAGCACCAGTTTCCAAAACAAAGAAAAGAAAAGAAAAAAGGAATGATGCTCGAGTTTCCAAAAGAAAGAAAAGAAAAGAAACGATGCTGGGAGCCAGGAAACCATCCACGAATGCAATTATGCAAGAAAGAATGAACCAGGAAATTTGGCAACCTGCATTGCACCGCCTGCGCAGCCATTCTCCGATCCTTCTTTTACCCAAGCTTGGCGCAGATGGGCGTGTGATACGGTAACGGATGGTGCTCGGGCTCTGGGTACCAATCTGCAGCGTTTGGCGGCAGCCCTGGGGCCTGGGCGCTTCTTGCGTGCGACTCTGACTTTTGAGCTCGCGGGCAGGGGAGGGCGCAGCGGCTGCTGAATTGGAGGCTTGAGGCGGAAGGTGTCGGACGCCTCTGTTCGAGGCGTGAGCCGTGAGGTGAGGCACCGCGCTGCGCCACAGGCACACAGCACGCTCCCTGTGCGAGTCTGGGAATGGGAGAGTACCCTCCAAAAGAAGCACGGGATTTGATGACCACAGGGGGCCGGTTTTGTCCGCGAGACCGTGAACGCCACCCGTGAGGTGCATTACTGGCGTCACTGGAAACATCCCATCTCTTGCACTACACTGCAGTACATTCTTCTGTCACTGTTCTTCTTTCTTTTTGCTTCACTGAAAAACTATGTATATGAGAATACTTGAGGATTTTTTTTCCTGTCACAGAACACAGAATACAAGCAAGCCCTGAATGGCTGAATGTGAATGGAACGTTGTAGCAGTCACATCACATGAGGATCTGTTGAGCTCAAAAATATACTTGGCAGCTGCCAAGCCCTAACCTAAAAAACCTGATCCTGTAGATCACTGTAGATGGTACAGATAAGAATGCTAACGATACTAAAAGCAACGCTGTACTTACCCGTAATAATAATGCTAATACAGCTATTAACAAAGGAGATGGTCGCAGGGGACATGTGGGGCAACCGCCTTGGGCCTTGCAAACTGCAATCCTGGTTTCTGTCATCGTGTATGTAAGCGGACGGCAGAAAGGGAAGCCACGTGACAGCCCGATCCTCCTGCTGGCTGTCTGGCTCATTCATTCATTCAACCCGCCTGCTGCTGTTCGACTTCGACCCCAGCCGGCCGCCCAGCCCTGCTGTCCTCTTGCTGAATTTTCTTTTCCTCGTGGTTTTTAGCAGCGCCTGAAAAGAATTCCTGGCAGCCACCGACTTCTCATTTGTTTTCTTTTACAGAAAAATACAGTACGTCTAGACGAGTGCACGTAGCATGTACCATGATACCAGGACAAAAATCGCGTCGAGCGTCCTTGTCGCGCTGCCTCACGAGCTGCCTGTGCTGCTTCCCGCGATTTGAACCGAACTGAAGTGACCTGAATCGGGGAGAGAACAGACAAGATGGCGCAGGCATGTGAGAGAAAAACACTTGAGCTGTCCGTGCTCGCACGTGGATTCTCAAATATACTACCAATATTCTCTAAAGAATAATGTGCTCTATCCGTTTGCTGATTTCAGCCAGAGCTTATCAGTCAGCCAACAATGTTTTTCTCTCACAACAACAACCAGCATCAACCAGACTTATCAGCCAAAAACCAATCAGCGAACAGGCCAACCATGGGCACGCAGAGTTTGGTGAAAGAAAGCATATAATGCTAATCGGAAGTTCGGAACTGACCTGCCATGTCAAATGCAGAGAGGAATTGGCTGGAGAGGTGCTGGAGGGATTATGGCGTTCGGCACCGCCCAAGCTTGTGAAGCGTGAGCCGTTTGTGATGTGAACCTACTTGAGATTCTCCTCGTGCTGCATGAGCTGCTGCTGCTGCCGTTCTTGTACCGTACGAAAATTCCTTCACCCACGAGCTCAACAGCCAAGAAATCAAGAATAATGCGCGAATAATTGGCACGAGGAGAACCGACAGTAAGCTGCAACATTTCCCCCTGGGATCATGCCAGGCTTCGTACGGTCCACAGTATTGGGTCCTCGCGCTCCTCGGGCTGCTGCCACAGGAGGCCTGGAAGCTCTCGAGGCCTGTTCGTTTCACTGAAAAATATTATTCACTGATTTGGTTGAAAGAAAAATATCATATCATGACTAATAAGCTAGGTTGAAAAGTATTGTTCGCTGATTTAGTGTGAGAGTCCCTTGAAGGTTGAAGCCATGGTTAAGGCATGTTTGGTTTCAAACTCCTAAAATTTTAGCTCCTAAAAGTTTTAGACAGCCTTCTAAAAGCTCCTAAAAGACCGTTTGATTCCACCTTCTAAAACTGACTAAAGGCAATAAATGTTGTGGCAAAAAGACCATGATGCCCTCCCCTTGCCCCTGCTCCTTCTCTGCATGCCCCTACTCCATCTTCTCTGCGTGGCGCGACTTCTCCCATGCGTAAGCTGGCGCCACACCGTGCGCCTAGGTACTTCCAGGCGCTGAATTTTTTTTTGTTGCTGGCGCCAACACAATGAGCTGCCTGCAGCGCCAAATATATTTGTTTGCCACATGTTTATTCCATTCAATAAAAAAAGTCCATACAAATGTTCGTACACTCATACAATCGGAAAGAAGTGTCCATAAATCATCCATACAACAATTCAACACATCAATAAAATCACCATTACAAGTTGACATCTATGATCTACTAAACAAACCATCGGCTATCCAATCACGGAACTCGTTCATATTTCGATCTTCATCTCCATGACATACATTTGACACATTACCGTCAGAAGAGGATCCTTCGACGAATGGAACATAGTTCTTATCATGGTCAACCAAATCAAAGTCCGCATCTCTCAAAAAAACTCTCCCTAATAAAATTGTGTAGTGCCATGCACACAATAATTATATGGCTTTACTTTTGCATTGGATAGCTAGGAAGGTCAAGCAATATCCTCCACTTCATCTTTAGAACTCCAAACGACCGTTCAATGACATTACGGAGTGAAGAATGTGAGTAATTAAACGGTTCTTTTTTACCTCTTGGCATTGTTCCTTGTCTAAACTCTGGCAGGTGGTACTTGATTCCTTTGTACGGTGCAAGATATCCCGGTCGGTTTAGATAACCCGAGTCAACAAGGTAGAACTTGCCTGCACATTCATAAAACATGGATTATCTAAGTCATAGACCTCCTGGCATTCTTCTCCAACTCCTTTTGTTTCTGCATCTGTTTCTCCATCTTCCTCAAATGGTGCCTCTTTTCTAACTCCATCTGCCTAAATTGGTGCCACTTTTCCAACTCGTCTTCCCTTTGCTTTACCATTTCAGCTAGTGCTGCTTCTTCCTTACTCCTAGATACTTGCAACTCAACAAGCAGCCCCTGGAACACCTTGACCATTGGGCTCTTACTCTTCTTGCTTGCTCTTGTGGCTGTGCTTGCAGTGCTATTTGCTCTCTTGCGACTGCTACTGCTCAAAGGACTTGCTAGGAACTCCTCTTTCTCTTGTTCCTCACCCTCCTAATCACCCAAGTCTCCCTCCTCATCTCCCTTGTCTTGAGTTGATGATCATGGTCACCCAAGCCGGCTGCAAAACGAACGGCCCGAAGTCGTCTTCGTCCACATCTTCCGGGGATGTGTGGAAGCTACCTGCGCTGGAGGAAGATCCTTGAAATAGGAAGTCCCTGTAATTGTACTTGTCCATGGGTGGGGTGATGTGCTTGGGCGAGCGCGCGGCTGGGTTGGGGGAGGGCACGACCGGCGGTGGGGGATGGCACGGGGAAGGAAGAAACTGCTAACAATCCACCTGCGCACAAAAATAGATCAGCAAGGGAAACCTCAGAACACTACATCGAGAAGGAGAGGGAAGAAACTTACCCGGCAGGCCCGAGAGTTCGTCGCGGACCCGGGATGGCGCGAGGGAGCAGCCGTCCTCCCCCGGTGGTGGCGGCGTTGCGGGATGAGGAGGTCTCGGCGGGTGGCGGCGGCGGCGGGGAAGGGCACGGGCGGCATTGCAGGATGCGGATGCGGCGGGGAAGGGCACGGGCGGAGGATCCGGTGGGGGAGTGCTCGGCCGGCAGTTGTTTGGCCTCGGACGTCGGCGAGGTGGGCGGATCTAGCGGCGGCGGGGATGGGGGCGGCGGGGTTGTTGGTGGACGCGAACGGGGTAAGGCGCGGGGGCGAACGGGTAAGGCGCAGGGGCGATGCGTGCGGTCGGGATGGGGGTAGTGGCGGTCCAGGATGGGCTTTAGAAGGTTTTAGGAGAGGGTGGAGCTCCTAAAGGAATTGAAGCCTCCTAAAACTTTTTAGGAGCTTTTAGTCAATGTGTTTGGTTCTTTAGACATTTTTTAGCTCCTAAAGATTTTAGGAGGTGGAACCAAATAGGGCCTTAGACTACTAGAGCTTCGACCAGTCAAAAAACTATGCGTTGATAAGCAACAGGTAGAAGAAAGTGTAAAGGGACCAAAGTAGGATGACAAATAGCCTGTTCGTTTCGTCGTAATCGATCGTAGATTATTTACTGCTGGCTAGTTTGGTTGGTATGGTGTGAGAGAATAATACTGTTCCAGCTTATAATCCACGATCTTATACGATCGTATAAGACGACGAGATGGAGACTGTACCTGTTCCACTGGGAACGGTAACTTCGGTACTGCAGTGCAGAAGTATCCTTCTACTGGGGGTCCACGTCTTTTTTTTCGCACACGATTACAGCGCGCGTCACCAACGACCATCATTGCTGATCTGGGAGAACGACGAACGATGATGGCAAGTGAATGCAAGCACACATAGCCCATGCTGATGCTCGGCGTCGGCGCAGGCCAGCCAAAGCCAATGCACAGACGACACCGCCTCCTTGTCCACCGCTGCCGCTGGTTAGCACCGTGACCTGTTGGGTAGTCGTGTCACGTGCACAAAGGTATCATCAGTATCAGCAGGCATAACACCAACTATTCAAAACATTTTGAAACCCTGATGGATCCAGACATAGGAACGGACAATTGAACATGATTAACCAGGTTTCGACCCCAACCATTTTCCTACAAATATACCAAGAGCAGAGGTCGTGCCAAAAGGGAAATGGGGGTGACAAAAGCTTCTCCTGGCCTTTCTTGCAGTGTGTTTTGTTTGTGGTAACCTAGCCTGTGACGGCCCTGCGCTGCACC